CAATAGCTGCTCAATTAAGTATTTAGTGGCTGATATCATATCATCGAGTTGAGCCAGGAACCACTGACATTCTGGTGGTCACGGTTTGAGCCCTGGGTCTGGGTGTCTCTCGCTTTGGTGAATTCCAAGGTATATTCAGTCAATGAAGAGAAAGTAAATCTCAATGGACGTCCTTCAATAGAGACGATGAATCTCAATTTCAAGGAGTGGGTTTCACAGTCAGTGTCTCATCAGCAAGCAGAGCCGGGCTCTGCTTGAACAGAGGCTGGTGAACTGCCCAGATGTTTATAGGCAAGAGTCAGGTTTCGACATTCAGTGTTCATTTGCAGCAGAGCCAGCCGCCTTTGCTTGCACCAATGCTGGTGGACTGCCAGATCTGTATTGCAAGACCTGCATTGCAGCAAGCAGTGCACCAAATTAATCCGGCAAAACAAACACACGTCACATTCACGATTAGCCTCTTGGATTACATGATGATCCCACACATTTGTATGCATGTACCTTAAATTTCGTTGGCACCGTGCGTAGCCAAACCTCTGCGGGTCTCTATGGGTCTACGTGTCTGTGGGTCTCTGTGTGTGATTTTAATACCCGATTGGATTATGACGCAGACACCAGGGTTGGAGTTATGGAAGGCATGGGCCAGATCAGCCAAATAATAATGGAAGGAGGCTGCTAGACATATGTGCAGTCCATGGGCTTGTAATTATGAACACGCTGTTCTGGCATTCGCGCATCCACACATCATGGCTGCACGCTGGTTCCAAGCAAGGACATCTGCTAGACTATATAATTACGGACCAACTGATATGGGTCCATGTCCTTGACACCAGGACTTCCTGTGGAGCTGATCTGCTCACTGACCATCGACTTGTCATCTCTCAGATACGCCTACAATTAATCTACTCGGGTTTTGGGTGTCCATCTAGGACCCTATTCAAACCCAAAGGGGCCTGGTTTCAGCTAGCTGAGGATAGTTGCAAGCAGAAATTTCAACATCGCTTGCAGCTGGGGTTATCATCGTGCCCCCTCCTTCTGATGCAGAGGAGAAATGGGCGAGGTTTAGGACTGTGGCTCATGCAGCTGCAACGGCAGCATTTGGTGGCTGCGAGGGGCGTGTCCTTGATGAGTCTGCGGTTCTCGGTGTGAGTTTGTGGGTCTCTGAGTCTGTGGGTCTCTGAGTCTGTGGGTGTATATGTGAGTCTGGGAGTCTCTTTGTGAGTCGGTGGGTCTCTGTGTGAGTCTGTGGGTCTCTGTCTGAGTCTGTGGGTTTCTCTGTGAGTCTGCGAGTTCCTTTGTGAGTCTGTAGGTCTCTGCGTGAGTCTGTACGTCTCTGTGTGAGTCTGTACGTCTCTGCGTGAGTCTGTGGGTCTCTACGTCTGTGGGTGTCTGTGTGAGCCGGTGGGTCTCTGTGTGAGTCTGTGGGTTTCTGCGTGAATCTGTGGGTCTCTGCGTGAGTCTCCATATAACCACCGTTACCACACAACATAATGGATACACGCCGGGTCCAAGCACCAAAATCTGCTGGACTACATAGCAGAACGAAAGAGTGGATGCGGGGTCCATGTCCATGATACCAGATCCTCCCGGTTAGCTGATATGTCCACTGACCATCATTGGGTCATCTATAAAGATGCGCCTCCATTCTTCCACTTAGGTAGTGGGCACACACAAACACCATCTTGTTGTGAAATATCCCTGACACCTGGAGGTTTTGATCTTCCACCAAGATGCTCATGGTACACGTCTAAACCGGCATAATTTTCATACCAGCATAAAGCATGGCAGCAGCAGTAGCAGCAGCAGATGATGGTGTGGATGATACCCCGATGCACAAATGGAACATTAAACAACTCTGGGGCAGTAGTGGTGCGACTGTGGTCATCACGAACGAGAGATTGTAGTACGAGGTGTAGCAACGCAATGCCCCGATCCACAAATACAAAGCAGGAGACATCACAGCGATTATGATGAGGATTCACTACTCTGCTCCTGACGTAGTTGTCTGCTGTCTTGACCACCTGAATGTGAAATGGTAGTTGCTGTTTCTGCCATCTATATCAACCATACGATAAGAAGAAGAGACTCATAGAGACCCATAGAGATCCAAACTGATAGAGATCCACAGAGACTCAGTCACCCATAGAAACTCACAGAGACTCAGAGATTCATAGAGACCAACAGAGATTCAGAGACCCATAGAGACCCATAGAGACTCAGAGATCCATAGAGACTCAAAGAGTCTCAGAAGACCCATAAAGACTCACAGACTCACAGAAACTCAGAGACCCATAGTGACTCATAGATACCCCACAGAGACTCGTAGGCACCCATAGAAACTCACAGACTCACAGAGACTAAGAGACCCATAGAGACTCACAGAAACTCAGAGACCCATAGTGACTCATAGATACCCCAAAGAGACCCGTAGGCACCCATAAAGACTTACAGACTCACAGAGACTAAGAGACCCATAGAGACTTACAGAAACTCAGAGACCCATAGTGACTCATAGATGCCCCACAGAGACCCGTAGGCACCCATAGAAACTCACAGACTCACAAAGACAAATAGACCCATAGAGACTCACAGAAACTCAGAGACCCATAGTGACTCATAGATACCCCAAAGAGACCCGTAGGCAACCATAAAGACTTACAGACTCACAGAGACTAAGAGACCCATAGAGACTCACAGAAACTCAGAGACCCATAGTGACTCATAGATACCCCACAGAAACTCGTAGGCACCCAGAGAGACTCACAGAAATCTGTGGAGACTCAGACCCAAAGACTCATGTACACCCCAGGCTCAGAGACCCATAGAGATCCGTAGACTCATAGAGACCAATAGAAACGCATAGACCTAGAGACTGATGAAGGCATCACGGTTATTCACTCCGCTGGCTCCTGATGACGGTTATCTGCTGCCTTGACCACCCGAATGTGACAACGTGGCTCTGCCATCTACATCAGTAGCCGTGCGACATTAAAGAGGGAGATTCCCCCCTTACTGGCAATTTAATTTCATCCCAATCTCCGAATGTGAAGTCCTAACCTTTGCTGTCGGCGCTGAAAAATAATAACCTCTCGTAATAAACGAATAAAAACAAATATATATTATTGGTTCTTTACGTAAAGTCACGTAGAAGGGAAATATTAAAATAATAAAAATATAAAACATTAAAAATTCTCACGATGTTTTTTTTTTACATTTTCTTGCTGTGGATTTCACACTTGATGATGATTGCTTGTGTTGCAGTCGAAACGTCGTGAGAATTGTTATTGTTTTATATTTGTATTATTTTATTATTTCCCTTCTACGTGATGACTTTACTGAAAGAACCAAGAATATGAGTCCCTGCAGTCACGAAAGCTTTAAATAAAAAACAAATGTTACCAGGTGTATGGCCCCACTCAGCTCTGTCGTGCCTCTTTTTGACGAAGCGACCTGGCTAACACAAGTGATAGCAGCCTAACCAAGTGGCAGATCTCATCATCATCATCATCATCGCGTGGACATATATAGCAGCGGACAAATCACTCGAAGTGCGTGGTGATGCCGATTATAAATGCAGAGGGGGCAAAACCGGAGGTTCCGGAGAGAAATCCACGCGACCACACGGAGAGAGAGCGAGAGATGCAGGCTCCAAATATACAGCATCAGGCATCGTCAAGGTCGGGATCGAACCCACGATCCTTCCTGTATATCGGGCGAAGTAGTTAACATCTCCTCGCTACATCTTCAGGAAACTGGGGGTGCCCTTCTACAACAGCAGCTTCGATAATGGGGTGCCTTACCTGGCTAACAAGCGCCATGACCTCGCCAACTTCGCCTGTGCGTGTGTTCTTTGAACGCTGGGGAGCCGGAAAAGCCCTGTGTACCAGCGTGGACGGCACCCTCGTGTTCACCTTCTAAAGCGCTCGCTCGTCACCGTGGCGTGTGCGATGACCACCACCACCACCACCACGTGACTTTTATTTCGTGTTGTGCGCGGTGCATTCAGCGCCACAGCGCGTGGATTTATAGCGTTTGTTTATTTGCTTTCTGGTGACTTTGTGTATTTCATATCGGAATCGCCTCCAGTGCTGTTGCTGCTGGCAGCAATAAAAGTTGTTTAAAAGTCAAAACGTCTCTGTGTCTCTCTCTTTTTTGTGTCTCTCTCTGTCTGTCTCTCTCTCTTTGTGTGTGACTCTTTGTCTCTTTGTCTCTCTGTCTCTGTATCTCTCTCTGTGTCTCTCTCGCTCTCTGTCTCTCTCTGTGTGTGTCTCTCTCTCCCTGTCTAAGTGAGGTTTGTGCCACTGCGCTAACCACTGCGCCACCGCTCCCCACTGCCCCAATGGCCTCTGACTTCACTCCAGCGAGGGCTTCGCCGTTATTTTTTTCTACGAACCCGGCGACCCGAGTTCGATTCCCACTCACGGCCAACACCACCAGTGACGATTATCTGAACCGGTCTTGGGCCTCCCCTAGGTCGACTCAGTCTCAAATTAGTTACGGTGCATAAAAACATCGCCACTGGGGAGACAAAGGCGGACCTGCCTGGTGCTGGCCACCCACCCCCTCGTGTGCTGTTCCGGCCTTCATAGGTGCTCGCTAACAGCACTTTCCCCAACAGTATGTTAAGGCTACACGGGGGATCTTTGACTATTTGTATGTATGTATCCGTGTATAATATAGTGTTTGGAGGGTTAGATCGCGTACAAAAATGTTATTATGGATTATATTGGTCGCGAAAGACTACGTGTTAAAATGTGTGTATGTACTGTGTATGTATCCGTGTGTATGTGTATGTATCTATATGTATCCATGTGTAAGTGTGCGTGTATCAGTGTCTATGTACTGTGTATGTTCTGTGTATGTATCTGTATGTGTATGTGTGAGTGTATCAGTGCGCACGTACTGTGTATGTATCTGTATGTGTATCAGTGTGCATGCACTGTGTATGAATCTGTAAGTATCCGTGCGTGTGTGTGTGTGTGCGATTGTAAATCTCTTACCAGGCGTAAGAGATTCGTTCACACGTTCGTTTCAGCTCCCGGGGTCTCAATGCGAGAGTAACGGGGAGAGACGCAGACTCATAAAGGAAGACGCTGGGGGTAGGAGGGAGGGAGGGGATGGAGGGTGGGGAGAGGGAGGAGGAGGAGAGTGAAGGGAGGAGGGGGGGTCAGGGGAGAGACGCGTGGTGAGGAGGGATTAGGAGTAAGGGGGAGAGGGCAGATGAGTGGTGAGGAGGGGGAGGAGGGCGGTGGAGGGGGAAGGAGGAGTGGTGAAGAGAGCGAAGATGAGTGGTGAGGAGGGAGGAGGAGAGGGGAGATGAGTGTTGAGGACGAGTGGTGAGGAGGATGAGGGGAGTGGCGAATTAGGGGAGAAGAAACCCAAACGCGGCCATCATCACCACGATGACTATGATCATCAGCGTGGTGATCACCATGATCACCATAATCTTCATCATCGCCGTCATACTATCAGTAAACTGATCGTACAACATACCGTGTCATGAACCAGGAGAGGGGAGGGGGGGGGGATGGGAGGAGATGGAAGAGGTGGGAGATTGAAGAGATAAAAGAGAAGATCAAGCGTGCGTGTTGCACTTTTTTCGCACCGTACGTAGCCAGCCGTGCTAATCTGTGGGTCTCTATGGGTCTGCGTGTCTATGGGTCCGCGTGTAGCCAACCTCGCTAAGCGGAGGTGCGAAGCTAACGGGGAGAGAAGTGAAATTAACTAAACTTGAGCTCAACAAAGTTTAGCTCAAGTTTAGCATCGTAGCTTCTTTTTCAGAAGCGACCTGGCCATCCATCACAAATCATCGCAACTCGACGAAAGTGGCTTATCGCGTGAAAATCGTAGCAGCAGTCAAAATACTCTCGAAACGCGTGATGATCTCGGTTCTAAATGTGGAGGAGGAGAAAAAAAATATCCACGAAGTGACCGCCACGGGGAGAGAGACGCAGACTCCAAATAAATTCAGCAAAGCGTCAGGGTCGGGATCGATGCCACCTGTCGAGGAGGTCATCATCTCCTAGCCACAACACAAACCCTCACATTTTACAGCAGCAGGTTTCGTCGGGATCGGGGATCTAACCCACGGACCTCCTGTATACCTGGCGAGGTAGCTAACATACCCGACCCACTGTGGCCAGCCCTCGCTAAACAAACGGGTGTGGACACAAACCCATGGTGTCTCGGGCGTTATCCTGGGACTCGAAACTGTCTTGCAAGACCTCCACATCGCAGGAACGAGTTCCGCAGGAACAAACATCACCCGTCGCATCCAGGATCGCCCTCCTGGATTCCTGTATGCCAGGCGAGGTAGTTAACATCTCCTCGCCAACGTGGCGTGATCACCACAGGGAGATGAGGCGTTTGAAGAGGTAGGGAGACGCGGTGGGTGGAGATGGAGGAGGCGGGGAGGGGTGAGAGCCGAGGTGGTGGGGAGGGGGAGATGGTGGTGGGGGGAAGGAGAGACGGGGGAGAGAATGGAATGCGAGTCGGGTCGGGCTTGGCTGGGGAGGGTAAATGTGCAGGAAGTTGTTGCTTTGTAAGGAGACGTGTACATGTGGCTCGCGAGCAGAGAAAGTGGGTGGGTGGGGGAGTGAGTGTGTGAGTTGGTTAGTGGGTGGGTGAGTGTGTGTGTGAGTGGGTTAGTGGATGGGTAAGTGAGTGAGTTAGTGAGTGGGTGAGTGTGTTAGTGGGTGAGTGTGTGAGTGGGTTAGTGGGTGGGTGAGTGGGTTAGTCGGTGGGTGAGTGTGTGAGTGGGTTAGTGGGTGGGTGAGTGAGTGGGTTAGTGAGTGGGTGAATGTGTGTGTGAGTGGGTTAGTGGGTGGGTGAGTGTGTGGGTGAGTGAATGAGCAAGTGAATGAGTGAGTGGGGGAGTAATTTGATGGGTGAGTGAGTGAGCAAGTGAATGGGTGGATGGGTGAGTATGTGGGTGAATGGGTGGGTAGTGAGTGAGTGGGTGAGTGAGTTGGTGGGCGAGTGAGTGGATGAGTGAGTACGTGGATGGGTGGGTGAGTGTGGGAGTGAGTGAGTGGGTGAGTGAATTGGTAGGTGAGTGAATGGGCGAGTGAATGAGTGGGTGGGAGAGTGAGTGAGTTGGTTGGTGAGTGAGTGGGTGAGTGTTTGTGTGAGTTGGTTATTGGTTGGGTGAGTGAGTGGGTGATTTGTTAAGTAAGTGGGGAGGTGTAAGTGAGTGAGTTGGTGGGGGAGTGAGTTGGTGAGTAAGTAAGTGGGTTGGTGGGTGAGTGTGTGAGTGAGTGGGTGAGGGAGTTGGGAAGTGATTGTATGGGCGAGTGAATGAGTGGGTGGATGAGTGAGTTGGTGGTTGAATTAATGGCCAAGTGAATGAGTGGGTGGGTGGGTGAATGTGTGTGTGAGTTGGTTGGTGGGTTGGTGAGAGAGTGAGTTGGAGAGTGGGTTAGTGGGTGGGTGAGTGTGAGTGAGTGAGTGTGTGGGTGAGTGAATGAGTGGGTGGGTGAGTGTGTGTGCGAGTGGGTGGGTGAGTTTGTGCGTGAATGGGTGGGTGGATGGGTGTGTGGGTGGGTGAGTGTGTGGGTGAGTGAATGAGCAAGTGAATGAGTGAGTGGGGGAGTAATTTGATGGGTAAGTGAGTGAGCAAGTGAATGGGTGGATGGGTGAGTATGTGGGTGAATGGGTGGGTAGTGAGTGAGTGGGTGAGTGAGTTGGTGGGCGAGTGAGTGGATGAGTGAGTACGTGGATGGGTGGGTGAGTGTGGGAGTGAGTGAGTGGGTGAGTGAATTGGTAGGTGAGTGAATGGGCGAGTGAATGAGTGGGTGGGAGAGTGAGTGAGTTGGTTGGTGAGTGAGTGGGTGAGTGTTTGTGTGAGTTGGTTATTGGTTGGGTGAGTGAGTGGGTGATTTGTTAAGTAAGTGGGGAGGTGTAAGTGAGTGAGTTGGTGGGCGAGTGAGTTGGTGAGTAAGTAAGTGGGTTGGTGGGTGAGTGTGTGAGTGAGTGGGTGAGGGAGTTGGGAAGTGATTGTATGGGCGAGTGAATGAGTGGGTGGATGAGTGAGTTGGTGGTTGAATTAATGGCCAAGTGAATGAGTGGGTGGGTGGGTGAATGTGTGTGTGAGTTGGTTGGTGGGTTGGTGAGAGAGTGAGTTGGAGAGTGGGTTAGTGGGTGGGTGAGTGTGAGTGAGTGAGTGTGTGGGTGAGTGAATGAGTGGGTGGGTGAGTGTGTGTGCGAGTGGGTGGGTGAGTTTGTGCGTGAATGGGTGGGTGGATGGGTGTGTGGGTGGGTGAGTGTGTGGGTGGGGGAGTGAGTGGGCGTGCCTGAGAGTGTGAGTTGGTGAGTAGTTGAGTGAGTTAGTGAGTGGGTGGATGAGTTGGTGAGTGCACATGGGTGGGGATTGGTGGCGCAGTGGTGAGTGCTGTACAAGCCACAGTAACCATAGCACACATCAGTGACGGAAAATATCGGTTCTGGGTCTCTTCCAGGTTAACTCATCCTGAACGAAGTACCCTGATCCGTGTGGATAAACAACATCACTGGGAAGACAAAGACGGCCGGGTGTGGTCATACCACCGACCTTATAGGTGCTACTCGCTAACAACACTTGCCCCAACAGCCTGCGTAGGCCATACGGGGGATCTATATCTGTGTTTGGTAATGTTAAACATGTGTTTGACCATATATGAGTGTATCTAGGTATGTGGGTGTAGGTCTGGTGTAGCGGTTAGCGCTACGCTGCGCTATGAATCCGGCGACCCGAGCTCGGTTCCCGCTCACGGCCAACAGCGCCGGTGACGATTATCTGAACCGGTACTGGGCCTCGCCTAGGTCGACTCAGCCTCAAATGCGTACCTGGTGCGCGGTGTAAAAATCACCACGAGGGAGACAAAGGCGGCCGGGCGTGGTGCTGGCCCGCCCACCCACTCGTTCGCCGTTCCGGCCTTAGGACGTGCTCGCTAACAGCACTTGCTCCCAACAATGCGTTGAGGCTATACGGGTATCTTTGTCTTGTGTTTCTGTGTGTCGGGCCGTGGAGCTGGCCACCCACTCGCATTGTGTGCCGTGTCGGCCTTCACCGATGCTGCTACACGCTAAGATCACTTTCTCCAACAGTTTGTTAAAGGGGTGGATCTTTGTATTTGATGGTTGCCGCTGCTGTGTGGTAGCACAGTTTGGCTACGTACGGTGCGAAAGAACTTTAACATACACACACAGAGACCCACACACACCCAGATCCATAGAGACATTAAACACTCTCTCCCCTCCCTTCTCTATGCTTGTGAGCCCTTGAAAGGGCCTCATCCAGATGGCGAGATGTTATCTCCCACGCCTCGTATGCAGGAGGACGTGGGTTCAATCCCAACCCTGACGATGCCTGCTGCTGTATATTTGGTGTCTGCGTCTCTCTCTCATCATCATCACGGTGGCTAGGAGATGTTGACTATCTCGACTGGTATAAAGGGGGTCGTGGGTTCAATCCCGACCCTGACGATGCCTACTGCTGTATATTTGGAGTCTGCGTCTCTCTCTCTCATCATCATCACGGTGGCATGGCGATGTTGACTATCTCGACTGGTATAAAGGGGGTCGTGGGTTCGATCCCGACCCTGACTACACCTTCTGCTTTGTATTTGGAGTCTGCGTTTTTCTCTCTCTCACTGGGTGGATTTTTCTCTGGGCCCTCCGGGTTTTCCCCTCCACATTTAGAAGCAACATCACCACGCGTTTAGCGTAATTTGACTGCTATCAGCCACTTCGCTGAACTGCAATCATTTGTGGACAGGTTGTTTCTGAAAAAGAGCTACAGTATATAGATAAGTGGGCCTTTACCTGATAAAATAAAATAAAAACATATTTCTAGTTTACAGGAGATTAGAAACGGATGGGGATTAGTCCACACACTTTGAAGGGAGTTAGATGGGACAGATGGGGAATAGTCCACACATTTTGAAGGGAGTGAGATGGCACAGATGGAGATTAGTCCACACACTTTGAAGGGAGTGAGATGGGACAGATGGATATTAGTCCACACACTTTGAAGGGAGTTAGATGAAACAGATGGGGATTAGTCCACACACTTTGAAGGAAAGGAGATGGCGCAGATGGGGAATAGTCTACACATTTTGAAGGGAGT